TGAAATTATAAATCTTACTGAACTGAACCTGCACACTGTTAGAAAAAACTCAAAGATCTTGAACTTTAATTCTGCTGTTCTTTTTTCTCTTACCAGTAACACCAAGTGGTATATATTAGTTAATTTTAACTATAGTTTTTCAACAATAAAAATTACATAAAATATAATGGATCTAATAGAAATATAGTTGAATATTAATATCAACCACACTTTTAATATTGGCTAGAAATAATACACGCAGCATTTATATCTTTTGAAGCCAAACAATCACATGCCTTTGGCTGATTTTTGAGAAACAAAACAATAAAATTTCAGTACAGAACAACAGACATTGTTCTAAAGTGAAAAATATGGCAGAAAAATTAAAATTTCTTCAAATGATAAAATGATTTCTTGTAAAAGTACTTTTAGTGTAGTTCATTCTGATTTCAGAATATATATATATATATATATATATATATATATATATATATATATATATATATATATATATATATATATATATATATATATATATATATATATATATATATATATATATATATATATATATATATCTTATGTAACTTCAGATGACTCTGGTTTATATTTAGTTGTCTTGTATTCACGGAGCAGCATATTTTCATATAAGCATTCAAGAAAACAAACCTTGAAAAATAAGATAAAAGGTGTTGGAGCACAAGGAAGATAAAAGGTAAAAGAAATATTTACTGATAGCTTCAAAAATAAGGATTTACAATGAATTACAATAACCTACTTCACTAGGCTATTTATACACACAAATTAAATCTAAAATATATCTTCTACAAAGATATAAGAAGATCTGAGATTTATATCTTCTAACAAAGATATAAACAATCTAAAAGATATTTCTAAATATAAATTAATATCTAATTAAATCTAAATTAATTCTAACACCATCACTTAATTTATATTTACCCAAAACTGACAACACCAATTTTATCCCTTAAACTAAGAAATTGATCAGTTTTGATAGCCTTTGTCAGAACATCTGTCAGCTGCTTCTGAGTGCTACAGTGCACGATCTTTCTTTCAGATGGAAATAACACTCCATATTTCAGAGTTCCCTTCACATACCTCAGAATCTTGACTGCAGCTTGGTAATGGGACCACTTTGGTTTGCTCATAAATCTGCTAACCATTCCAACTGCATAGTAAATATCAGGTCTGGTATTACACAAATACCTTAGAGAACTAACCATCTGTTTGAAGGTTGTAACATCCACATCTTCTACATCAGAATCAGAGTCCAACTTCTGATTTGTATCAGCAGGTGTGATAGCAACCTTGCAATTCTCTAGCTCAAATCTCTTCAGAAGCTCTAATTCATACTTCATCTGATGCAAAATAATTCCTTTCTCAGAGTATATAAATTCCATCCCTAGAAAGAAACTCATTTTCCCAAGATCTGTCATCTCGAACGCATTCATCAGAACTTTCTTGAACTCAACTATCTCTTGTTCAGAACTTCCTGTGAGTAATATGTCATCAACATACAAACAGACCAGAATCATATTACCTTCTGAAGTATGTTGAACATAAACACCATACTCCATCTCACACTTCTGAAACCCTTGTTCCTTGAAAAACGAATCAATCTTCAAATTCCAAGCTCTGGGCGCTTGCTTCAATCCATACAATGCTTTGTGTAATTTGAACACCATCCCTTCCTAATTATTTTTCTCAAATCCAGGAGGTTGTGAAACGTACACCTCTTCTTGTAATAGACCATTCAGAAATGCAGATTTTACATCTAAATGCATCAGAGGCCAGTTCCTGTTAGCAGCTGTTGCAATCACTAGTCTGATTGTTTCATGTCTCGCTACAGGTGCAAACACTTCAAAGTAATCCAACTCAGGCTTCTGTAGAAAACCTCTTGCTACTAATCTCGCTTTGTGTTTGCCAATTGATACATCTGGATTTAGCTTCTGCTTGAAAACCCATCTAACGCTGATGGCTTTCTTGCCTTTTGGAAGTTCTGTCAGCTTCCAAGTCTTGTTTCTCTCTATAGCATCAAGTTCTTCTTTCATGGCCTGCAACCAAACTTGCTGCTTAAGATCCTCTTCTGTAATCACGGGTTCAAAGTCTACTAACATTGCACACTAAATAACTTCTCCTTCAGAGTCTACTTTAGTGTCTTGCAACATGTCAAATTCTGCAAATCTTCTTGAGATGCTTCCGACTCTTTGTTGCCTCTGAACTGGACCTTCAGAACTTTGGACACCAGAACTTTCCCCTTTAGACGAACTTGCTTCAGAAGTTGGACTTTCTCCAGAACCTTGACTATCTTCAGAGTCTGGATCACCATCGGAGTTAGAGTCAGAATCATCTTCTCCTTTTATATTTTCTTCAGAGTCAGAGTCTTTACCAGCTTCAGAAACATGTATTTCTGAATTTTCTTCAGAAGTTCTCTCATCAGAGTCGGGACGAGACTTTTCCCAATTCCAAACTTCTAATTCCTCTACAATGATGTCTCTGATGAACTCAACTTTGTTAGTTTCTGGACAATAAAGTTTGTACGAACCTGTACTATGGTACCCCACCAGCAGCATCACTTTACTTCTATCATCCAACTTCTGTCTTCTGGCCTCTAGGGCATGTTTATAACATATAGAACCAAACACCTTCAGATGACTAACACTTTTCTTATCTCTAGTCCACTTCTGAATATGAACTATTTCCTTCAATTTCTTCGTTGGACATCTGTTGAGCACATAACATGCAGTTGCAACAGCTTCTCTCCACAGAGTATGAGGAAGTTTCTTCTCTTTCAGCATGCTTCTCACCATATCAAGCAAAGTACGGTTTCTTCTTTCAGCAAGACCATTGTGTTGAGGAGTATAGGGAGCAGTAACCTCATGCTAAATTCCATTCTCCTCACAGAAACTTTTGAATTCTGTGGAGTTATACTCACCACCACCATCATTTCTAAGAATCTTCAGAGTCTGGCCATTCTGATTCTCATCCTTCAGCCCGAACTTCTTGAATTCAGCAAACACCTCGCATTTGAACTTTATGAGAGATACCCATGTTATTCTGGTGAACTCATTAACAAATGACACAAAATATTTATTCCCTCCAGTTGATGCTACTGGAAAAGGACCGCACACATAAAAATGCACTACTCCCAAGGTATATTTTGCTCTTAGAGCTACTTCTGATGCAAATGGTAATCTTGGTTGCTTCCCTTATATGCACACCTTGCATGACTTTTCAGGCTTCTTGATTGTAGGAATTTCATGTACCAGATTCTTTGATTTCAGATGTCCTAAACTTATGAAATTCAGATGACCAAATATTCTGTGCCACAACTCACTCTTCTTGACAACACTTGTTGCACTAAGACATTCAGAGTCTGCAGTTCTAACATTCACCTTGAATGTTTTGTTCTTTCCCTGTTTTGACTCCATAATCAGCTTCTGATTACAGTCATACAACTTCAGAAGATTGTCCTTCATGGTAACTGAAAAACCTTTCTCAATCAGTTGTCCCACACTCATCAGATTGCTTTTCATGCCAGGTACATACCATACATTCTGGATCACTGCTGCTTTCCCATTGTTTAGAATGATTCAGACATTTCCCATACCTTCTGCATTGAGGTATTTATCATCAACACATCTGATCTTTGTACTCTTCCCAGATTCAAAATCACCCAACCATTTATTTTTTCCAGTGAGATGGTTTGAACACCCGGTGTCCATATACCACCATTCTGATGAATTCCAGTCATCAGGTTCAGAAGCCAACAATAGCATAGGTTCATCATCATCAGACTCTCCTCTTGCTATATTTGCTTTTTCTGACTTCTTTTATTTGTTGGACCAACAATCTCTGGCATAGTGACCAAAGTTCTTGCAACAGTAACACTGAACATTCTTCTTGACAGACTTCTCCTTTCCCTTTTGGAAATTCTTCTGCCTATTAGAATTTGAAGCTTCTGACCTTTGACCACCATTAGTTTTCTTTCTGGCTTCTGACCAAGTCTGCTTCTGATGCTTCTTACCAAAAGTTACCTCCAGAGCCTGCTGCTCTACTTCCCTCTCAAAAGTTCTTGCAGTCATACACAACTCATGCGCCTCTAGACTACTTTGCAGCTCTACAACTCTCATGGTGCTCAGATCTTTGGAATATTCAATTACTACAACAATGTAATCAAACTGAGAAGTTAAAGATCTCAATATCTTCTCAATAATTACTTGTTGAGACAGAGTTTCTCCACAAGCTTTCATCTGATTAGTGATCAGAATCACTCTAGAGATATATTCAGAAACCTTCTTGTTGTCCTTCATGTTGAGATTCTCATATTGCTTTCTAAGACACTGAAGCTTCACCTTCTTCACTGATGCGTCACCACCGTAACATCTGACCAGTGTGTCCCATGCAGCCTTTGCTGTTTCAGAATCAACAATATTCTCAAATACATTCGCATCCACACATTGATGGATGTAGAACAACGCCTTCTGATCTTTCTTCCTCAACGCCTTTTGTGCTATCTTCTGCGTCTCTGTTGCATCTGCTTCTAACAGATCATAGCCTTGTGCACCAAATAACACACGCATCTGGATCTTCCAACGATTCCAGTTTTTGCCATCAAATATTGGAAGCTTTGAATGAATATCTTCGTCGTTTCTGTTCATCTTCTACCTTGTGCAATTTACGCAGAAACTCAATGAAAAAACAATGTTTCCCAAATTCTAGAGTTTCTAACCAGGAGCTCTGATACCAATTATTGGTGCACAAGAAAGATAAAAGGAAAAAGGAATATTTACTGACAACTTCTAAAATAAGGATTTACAATGAATTACAATAACCTACTCCACTAGGCTATTTATACACAAAATTAAATCTAAAATATATCTTCTAACAAAAATATAAGAAGATCTAAGATATATATCTTCTAACAAAGATATAAACAATCTAAAAGATATTCCTAAATATAAATTAATATCTAATTAATTATAAAATCTAAATTAATTCTAACAATATGGAGGAGGTGGCTGAGAAGATGTCGACGTACTCCCGTAAGGATTAAACTCATCAGTGGTGGTCGTGTTGATCCTTGCACTTAGATTGAATTGATAGTATCGTGCAACTGTACCATAACTTTTATGAATAGTTGTTAGCTGATGAGTGTGAGAAACAAAGAAAAATCCAAATCCTTCTTTAGGTGCTGCCATAATCTATAAAAGAAATAAACCAGAAAATATATAATAATGTGTTTCCGCTTGCTGTCACTTTAAGGAATAACACATCTATGAGCACTGTCGAACTTGTTAAGAATCTTGATTCTAACTTAACAACAGTTGCATTATTTGAACATCAAAACATATACGTTGTATGGAAAGCCTATTTCAAAAGTACACAAAACTAAAATACATAATATATTTCACATCTAAATTTTGAAGTAAAAATTTGTCAATTTCTAATTTCGAATCATAAAGCCCGCCGTTCGCATTATTCAACAATCAATTTACCAAATTTCCAAAATCTTCACATAGTTTCTCCTTTATTTCATCATTGTCCTTAAAAATGAGTTCCCTTAGAAAGATCTTCTTGTTGGAGTAGAACGTGTTGATGATAAGACTGAGAAGTTGGTTGATCTCGGCCTAAAAGGCAAACGTTTTGGTTTCTGATTTGGTAGATCCATAGGTTGAAGAGAGATCAATGGGTTTCTAACATGGCTAATCAACAATGAAGAAAGTTAGCAATAATAGAAAACCATATCATCTACAAATCGAAGTAAAGGTTGAAGAATCACCTGGAATTCCGACGGCGGAGATTTTAGGATCGTCAATAATGACTGATAGTGAGTTCAAAATAGTCCCCAACTCTTTATAAAAACAATCCCCTGTCGATAATGGCCGATAGTTTGTGCTGATATTGGTTGTTTAATGCACAAAGAGATAAGAAAGAAGAAAACAAAGAGAGAAAGTGAATTCTTGAAGAATTTTGAAATAACAGAGAGAAGGATTCCAAGGATATGAAAAATTAGAGAAGAAAAATGTCAGATTTATACACAATGAAATTAAAGTAGAAAGCAAAAATTGAAAGCAAAAACCTTTAAAATTCAACCATTAAAATTGATGATGCACTGATTGGGTATTGGTAGATGAAAAATCAACATTAAAAGGATTACATCGTTAAAGCAATAAAAGATGACCAATCCAACTTTATTTATTGCAGAGAAGGATGACTTGCAACCTTTGAGAAGTCTACATTGATTTCGAGTTTACATCGAAAAATCATACAATAGTTTACTGTTTAATTTTATGGAAAAGAAGTTTAAGGCGGCTTTTATATGAGAAAGTAAAAAATTATTGATAGGTTACAAATTATCAATAACACAGAAATAAAAAGGTCATTTAAAAAAATAAGCAAATAATCAAAAAATTTAAATCAAAAGTAAATAATAATACAAATAGAGTAAGAATTCGATAAATAGAAACACAAAAATAATAATTTGACTAGATTTTTGACACTTGCCAAAATTGTAAAAATTTTCAGTTTATTTTATTCTATTGTATGATTTATAATATAATATATTTAATAATTATTTTACTATTCATTTCGTAACAAAGAAAAAAGAGCAAAACGGAAACTCGCCATTTTTCTTCCCGTAATTTATTACAGATAATGACCTGGAACGTCTTATTAATGCAATTTCATAATTATTGAATTACTTACTGTCTTATTCTTATTTTCTTTGGTTGAATTCTATTATTATATATCCTAACAAAAGAAAACAATCTACACGTTCTCATCCTTTTTTTTTGCCGACAGTAGCTCCAACATTAGAACACGCGAGGTTGGACCCATGAAAAGGTTGTCACCAACCGACAATTACATGATTCTAAAACGTTTTGACCATGTTTTTTTTTTTATGATTTATTTAAATTAGTAAGAAATTCGTGTTATTGTATGAATTCCGTCCGAATTTATATTATATGTCTATTAAGTTATTATTATAAAATTTGAATTTATTTTATAATTAGTTAACATTGACATAATTATAAATATATGTTAATAGTATACACAAATTTTTAAGCATTAATTCAGAATTACAATAAATTGTACTGTCGATTCTCTAACTTCAATTATATAAAACAACAATAAAAAAAATATTTAAAAGATAAATATTAAAATATAATTAAAAAAATAAATATTAAAAAAAAATTATAAAATTTCATCATCTATTTTAATATTTAATTTCATTTTCAATTATAAATCTAACGCATTAAATAACAATGATTAATATTAACACAAATTTATCAATTTTAAAAATTATGTACAAAATAATTAAAATATTACTATAAATTCAAATTTTAATATATTATTATATATTTTGATCCTTATCTCACTTTCTCTCTATAATATAATATTAAAATATTTTAATAAAATAAAATTTTAACGATATTATTTCTATTTTAATAGTGTTTGTAATTGTAGTTAATATATTATATAATATCAAAAAAGAATATCATAATATAACTTTTCAATAATATATTTGTTATTTCAAAAAATAATTTTAGATTTGCTATTGAAATATTATTATAGTAATGTAATTATTATGTATACCATTAAAAATCAGTAGTAAAATAAAAAATCGCTAAAAATAACAACATAACTTATTAATAATATATTTGTTATTTCAAAAATTAATTTAAGTTTTTATTATTTCAAATGATTTACTTAATTATAATATTTTAATTCATAATTTCTCTTTCCAATTTCAATTACAAAATAAATAAAAATAATTTCTTTTTTCAATTCCAATAACAATCTTCAAAATAAATAAAAAATTATATTTTTCTCTTATTTTTAATCAATTTTCGATTTTTTATTTAAACATTTTTTAAAAAATATTAATTTTTCATTTTTTTCACCTTTTATTAATAACATAGCAAAATAATTATAAAAATATAAAAAAAGATTTTGTCCAATTTTTTTTAAGTTGCACTTTTAACATATATTTTATTTTAGGAAAAAAAATCAAATCAATACAATTGATTTAAATATATTAAGAATTAAAACCAAAATTAATTTAATTTTAATTTTTTATTATGTTAATCAGTTATTTAATTATTATTATTTGTTATTTTAACCAAATTTTTGTTATAAATAGTTGACAATTTTTCTTAATAAATATATCACTTTTTTATAACATACAAAATCTTATTTTGAGTTCAGTCACAAATTTCAACGATTCTCACACTCACGTACCTAAGTACAATCACAAAAATTCATTCTCACTTCTCATGTTTATTTTTACCCTCACATTAACCAAATTTGACAAACTTCTACAAATCAAATACAACACAAAATAAAACCAAATAAAACACAAAATATCCAAACGGTTAGAGTACAAGGAAGATAAAAGACAAAAGGAATATTTAGTGATAACTTCAAAAATAAGGATTTACAATGAATTACAATAACCTATTCCAATAGGCTATTTATACACGCAAATTAAATCTAAAGTATATCTTCTACAAAGATATAAGAAGATCTAAGATATATAAGATATAAACAATCTAAAAGATATTCCAAAATATAAACTAATATCTAATTAAATCTAAATTAATTCTAATACCATCCATTAATTTATATTTACCCAAAACTGACAACACCAATTCTATCCCTTAAACCAAGAAATTGATCGGTTTTGATAGCCTTTGTCAGAACATCTGTCAGCTGCTTCTGAGTGCTACAGTGCACAACCTCTATTATTCTATTCTGAACTTGATTCCTCAGAAAATGATACTTGGTCTCAATATACTTGCTTCTCTCATGCAACACTGGATTCTTGGCAAGATTGATTGCAGACTTGTTATCAATCATCAGCTTCAGAGGTTTATTCACCTCAATCTTTAGATCTTTCAGCAAGTTCAGAATCTACACAGCTTGACATGCAGTCAGAGCACCTGCAATATATTCAGCTTCACATGTTGACAGAGCAACAACAGGTTGCTTCTTGGAACACCAAAAAATAGGACCTCCCAGAAATTTGAATAAGTATCCAGAAGTACTTCTTCTGTCAACTCTATCTCCGCACCAATCAGAATCATAATAACTCAGAAGTTCTGATTCGATCTTTCTTCCAGACGGAAATAACACTTCATATTTTAGAGTTCCCTTCACATACCTCAGAATCCTGACTGCAACTTGGTAATGGAACCACTTTGGTTTGCTCATAAATCTGCTAACCATTCCAACTGCATAGCAAATATCAAGTCTGGTATTACACAAATATCTTAGAGAATCAACCATCTGTTTGAAGGTTGTAGCATCCACATCCTCTCCATCAGAATCAGAATCCAACTTCTGATTCGTATCAACAGGTGTGATAGCAACCTTGTAATTTTCTAGCTCAAATCTCTTTAGAAGCTCTAGTTCATACTTCATCTGATGTAAAATGATTCCTTTCTCAGAGTATATAAATTCTATCCCTAGAAAGAAACTCATTTTTCCAAGATCTGTCATCTCAAACGCATTCATCAGAACTTTCTTGAACTCAACTATCTCTTGTTCAGAACTTCCTGTGAGTAATATGTCATCAACATACAAACAGACCAGAATCATATTACCTTCTGAAGTATGCTGAACATAAACACCATACTCCATCTCACATTTCTAAAACCCTTGTTCCTTGAAAAACGAATCAATCTTCAAGTTCCAAGCTCTGGGCGCCTGCTTCAATCCATACAATGCTTTGTGTAATTTGAACACCATCTCTTCCTGATTATTTTTCTCAAATCCAGGAGGTTGTGAAACATACACCTCTTCTTGTAATGGACCATTCAGAAATGCAGATTTTACATCTAAATGCATCAGAGGCCAATTCTTGTTAGCAACTATTGCAATCACTAGTCTGATTGTTTCATTCTCGCTACAGGTGCAAACACTTCAAAGTAATCCAGCCCAGGCTTCTGTAGGAAGCCTCTTGCTACTAACCTTTCTTTGTGTTTGCCAATTGATCCATCTGGCTTTAGCTTCTGCTTGAAAACTCATCTGACGTTGATGGCTTTCTTGCCTTTTGGAAGTTCTGTCAGCTTCCAAGTCTTGTTTCTCTCTATAACATCAAGTTCTTCTTTCATGGCCTGTATCCAAACTTGGTGCTTAAGAGCCTCTTTCGTACTCACGGGTTCAGAGTCTACTAACATTGCACACTGAATAACTT